TAAAGCAAAGCCACTTCCTCGTCCGACATTAAACGGAGCCCGACAGAGGAGGGAGGGGCGGGGCGGCTGTCGCCGTGCGGCGCTTCAACAGCTGWCCTGCGTCTGACCTCAAAGTGCACAAGCTTCAGACTTCAGCGTTGGCTGCGATTTTGAAGCTGAAATCGCGTTCGGTGTGAACGCACCATTAAGAAAAGGCTTTAAACCCCCCCCCCCCACATATTTTTTTTCAACAGTAACAAATATTGGTACCACTTGACTATAAGGCTCCCCTTATAGATGGCTTATAAATGCTTTATAGATAGGTTGTTAATTTATCTGTAAACACTTTATACATCATTATTAAGTATTTATTATGCATTAATTAAGGACGAGAAAGACAAAACTGTCCGGTTTTTGGTCAAATAGTGAGCCAAATCTGTTCACGTACATATTACATCTAAAGTGCTATATTAAAAATTTTCTACTGAAGTACAGTAACAAAGTATTTGTACTTAGTTACTTTACAGCTCTGATAAAGACAATGCTGTGCTATGTTAGCCGGCCTGGATTCAAATAAAATCTATATTTATTTCCGTAAAACAACGAGCTGACTGTGACATCACATCTTCTGTGTGCAGGTTACATCAGCGCTGCAGAGAGTTCAGACCGGAGTCTGATGGAGGTCACATTTAAAATATAATGTGAACATCTACTCAAAACATTTAGATTGCTGCAAAAASTGGTAACTGAGCATTAAGACCTGCAGTGTGAACGTAGCCTAAGTCGCACGACCAGGCAAACTATGAAACAAAGTGACTTATAGTCTGGAGAATATGGTGCATATAAAAGAAATGTAGACTTARAAAACAAATTTGTCAAAGATGAGTTGACAAAGAAATGTACATTTACTGTTTTTTCTTCTTACTACATATCTGTATGAATGCATTTTCAGCTTTAAATGTAGTAAATAAAAAGCTTGTATCATGTCTGCTTGGCAAGTAAACAGTTTATGCTGCTTATGAATTTTTTTGTACTACACCCATTACGAAAACACTTGCAGAAGTGTCTACGATTTGTTTTGAAGCCCTTTGATGATCTTGTAAAGTAGACTTGCTGATTATTGACAGTCTTCCAAAAAAAAGAAGAAAAAAAACCACACCTCCTTACCTTCTGTCTCCATTGTTCCCTCCCTCTATCTCAGCCGGTTGCCGTTCCTTTCCTATCCAGAAGGCCCATTTGTCAGAACATGTTCTTGTGATGGGAAGCCATCGGATTGTCAGATTCTTGCTTGTCCTCCAACTCTTCTTACACAAACTCCCCCCCTTTCCCCTCCTGATTCAGTTTGTCAGCACCAGTTATACCCTGTCAGCCTACATATCTTTTTCAGATTATGTGGATTTTTATTTCAGTACCACCTACTTCATTGGACTCAATGTTTCCAATGTTTTTTTTCCTCTAACAATAATCTATTTAAGTTTGACAAAAAAAAGCAGGAAGCAGAAGAGACCTGCGCTGTGCACTTCAATAGAGATGAATGCGTCACTTACACATATGTTGAAGTAGCTAATATTAAAAACATGTGCAGCTTTACTGTTCAGGCAGTTAGAGTTATTTTTGGTTTTAGCAGACAGCACAGTGTCATCAAAGGGCTTTCAGAGTCCCTGAGGCGATAGGAAAGTTTACAGTTTAGTGATCATTTCTTTCTGTTCCATTGTTTGTCACCAGGGTGACCGGGGACCCCCAGGTCCAGCAGGTCCAGTTGGAGAGAACGGGCCAAGGGTAAGTGAAGTCATGAATATCGTTAACTATAAGGCTTGATGAAAGTTGATTTAGTTGCTCAAAGTCAAATAGCATATTTATTCAAGTATAATACGTAAAATTAAATCCATAAAATCAACCATAAAGTTGGGGGATAGTATTATACTTGGATAAATATTTTTACTTATGTGTTTTAACTGAAATATTGGCTTCATTCACAAAATACCTGAGTCCGGGAATGAGACCACCTCATTAAAAGCAGTTGAAATGAGCTTACCTCTGACAATCCTTTGTAATTCAGAGCGAGATAATAACAGATCCAGGCAGGCGACATGATGTGAAAAAAAGGGAAAAAAAAGTAGTCCTGCATCTTAGTAATGATAAACTAATGACATTAGCGTGTGACCGGGCCGCTCCTTGAACAACAACACACACATGTTCGTCTGTAATGGCTTCCGTCTACCGG